AGAGGTCCCTCGGAAACTAACGGGAAGAGTCCCGGGATGACGACGCGGCGACGATGCACGTGGAACCTGCGCAGGTGGACGAGTCCACACCGAGGGAGGCGACTTCAGAGGATTTGACTTTTCAGTGATTTGAAATCCGGGTGTGAGGTTCTCCGATGGTCGGCGACTTTCCAGGCGCTGCGGACGAGTTCGTGGATGGATTCGGGCGCTGCTGACCTGGTAGAACCTTCGTGCCGAGGCCGATGCCTATCGCCTGCTGCGTTCACCTTCGCTAGGAATCTTCGGGATAAGGTTGGCGGTTCGTTTTGGACAATGTTCCGCATCTCGCTAAGTCGACTTTTCGTCTGGCGACGGGCCACTGGAATGGACCCTTGTTTGCTTCAGAGCCCTTGGATAAGCTGCGCGAGGAGTGGTTCGACATGTTACCGGACCCTTTGAGAGCTCGAGAAATGATACGATTCTTGAGGACCCCGACTACCGCATCATCGAGGAAGGGAAGTTCTGCTTTTGCAATGGTGTCGAGGTTGGACACACTTCGCCTCTGGGCCCGGCTCCTCAGGTTTTCCGTCGACGACAGAAGGATCAGAAGTGCGATTCGGAGCCGCTGATGGGGAACTACCGCGACGAGCCCGAGGTCGAAAAGGCCCTCCTGGAGGCCTTTGAGAAAGAGGAGGCGGAGGGACGGATGTTTCCACTGTGCTTCGCCGAACCGCGCAATCGGTATTCTGGCTCTGCTTTGCGTATCGCGGCTCAAGCTGTCATTCCGAAACCTGACCAAGAATTCCGGGTCGTCCACGACGGAACACATTGTGTTCAGGTTAACAACGAGTCAACGAGATTGTTATGAATGACCGATTGGAGTCACCGGGAGCTCGTGAAGTATCGGCTATTCAGAAGCTTAGTTCGGTCTCTTCTGAGAAAGTTCTTTTCGGTTTAGTTGGTGATGTTAAGAAGGCTCATAGGAGATATCTTCATCACCCCGACCATTGGGGAGTCCTGGCCTGCAGATCGCGAACCGATTCCCCGGGCGTGTGGCTAAACCGCACTGGAACTTTTGGCATAGCGTCAGCGGCCTTTTGGTTCGCTCGCCTCATTGGCTTGGTTGGTCGCCTCTCTCTCAGAGTTTTATTGGATGCGTTTGTTTTCGCTCTCATTTACGCGGACGACTTACATTTGTTGAGCGGCGGCCCGAACCGCTGGTTAAACCTGCGGATGATGTTGGCGCTCTTTTGTCTTCAGGGAACTCCTTTTTCTGAAAAGAAGTGGTGCGGAGGCCTTCAAGTAGATTGGGTCGGTTATTGGATTGATTATGGGCGATTCAAGCTTGGGATTTCAGACAAACGGTGTCAGTGGTTTATCAGATCAGTTGAGAGCATGGAGGGCGACGGCTGGCTCGTCGATGTCCGTCGTTTCCACGAGTTGCACGGCAGGCTTGGATTCATGTCACAGGTTCTGGTCTGGATGAGGCCTTTCTTGGCGCCAGGCTATGCATGGCTTGCGGTGGTCAAGAAAGGCGCAGTGCTCGCACTCCCGAATCTGGTGCGTTGCACTTTGCGATTCATTTTGGATCGACTTCGGGCCGGCGCTGTACTTATCCTGCAGGTCTGATTGACAAAGATTATGGTGAGCTTTTCAGGACCGATGCAGCTTGCAACGAAGACTCTGTGATCCTTGGGAGCTTTTTTGCTCCTTGGTTTCAGCTGAGGCTGGGTCGGGAAGAGACTCCCTGGCTCTTCAGGGAAGGACTTGGGAGTTCCTGGGCGAGCACGTCTGCTGAACTGCTCGCTTCCTTGGTTGCCTTGCACCTCCTTGAGAGAGGCTTCGCTGGGGTGCTTTCCGGTCCAGGGTCTTTCAAAGCTTGTTTTTCTGCTGGGACGGATAACAAGGCAGCAGATTCTATATCTGCCAGGCTGCTTACGACCAAGGTACCGGTGATGTTCGTTTTGCTGGAACTCTCTTATCGCTGTGACACTTCGGGCATCAGATGCCTCTTGAACTGGAGGCCCCGGGACGCAAATCAGGAGGCTGATAGGATCACAAAGAACGATTTTTCTGATTTCAGTGCTGACCTTAGGGTCGCTGTCAGTTGGGACGAGCTTCGCTTTTCAGTGCTTCCTTGTTTGCTGCGCTTCGCAAACTTTCAGAGCACTTTGGCCGATCTGCGTGCTGATTCTGCTGGGGAAGCCTCGGCTCTGTCCCGCATTCGCTTCGAGAAGAGCCAGTGGGGATGACGGACGACGTCTCCTCGTTGATGGGGGATTGATGCTTTCGACATCGTCCCTTCACAGACTTCTGTTGTGCAAGACGTGTGTGGGCTGTGCGGACCAAAACACTCGAACCGTTTGCGCTTGCTGTCCTCCTTAACACTTCTTCCCAAACCCCAAACCTTTGGAGCCCTTCGGGCGAACAAGATGTCTCAACAGCCTCCAGGGTACAACCCTTGACTTCGTTTGCCGTTAGGAAAAGAAGGATTGTGCGAGCGCGTGTGAGTGAGCGAGCCTACTGCGTTTGATTATGGTTTATATTTGGAATGTATATTTGATTGGACTCCCTCTTTTGAATTGGGACAACTTTTACTTTATAGACGTTTCAACATGCGAGTTCATAACTCGATGTCGTGATGCATGCTTGATTTTGGGATACAGAATAGAATGATTTAAATTTCGGCTGAAAGTTGAAACCTAGTTGCCGTGTGAAGCTCCGTGCCGGGCTGACGGTTGTTACGAGGCAGTGAGCGGAATTGCTTCCTCCGAGCTAACGTCTGCGTGCATGCAAATTGATATTGTTCCGACGAAAAACCGTGGTAAGTAAGGCAGGGCCGAGGCCACAAGGGGAATGCTTCGCGAAGTATATGTCAACACAGGAGAAGGGAAAGGCAAAGGCCGGGCATGGCAAACCGGACAGGAATCCGATTCAATGCGTCAATTATGGTGGTACGGGGTTTGGCGTTGAATTGTATTGTGGCCTCTCTTTGCTCGTCCGCAGCTGCCCAAAACACAACAGTGCCTGGGAAACCCTGGAGCCCGTCGAGACTCCAGCACGCTATGAATCCGCCTAGCAAAGGAGCCCTTATAAATCCAACACCTTACGCTGCCGTGCGAGCCACCAGGGAGAGGCACCCGGCTCCGTGTGGTTTGATTCACGCAGTTGGTTTTGAATATTGGACTTAGGGGGTGTCGTGCGACGTCGTGGAATTCGCGTTCAAGATTGCTCAAAGAGCCTTTTCCTTCGAGACCATGTGCCATGACATGCGTTTCCCGCCTGATTTGCCTGGCCCTCTGGCTGTTTCCAGTGGTCGGGAGCCTCGATTGGTGCACAGAGGGCCGCCAGGCCCGAAACCCATCACAGTGTCGTCTACTGGGAGGTGTCTTAAAACTACGGGTAACCATGCATTCTTTTAGCAGGGATCTTGTTGATTGCGGTCAAGATAAAGGTTTTGTTTCTTATATTGAGAACATATCTGATCAAAAAACCCTTTCCCTTGACAGAGACTTCAATAGGCCATAGGGTCATCGGGATCCTAGTATTCGGGCCTTTTAGAGCAAAGTGGAGGGGTAGTCATCTAGGGGTCTACAGAGTTACTACAGCGTCTACATCACCCTCTATAATACAATAGAGTCATGATTCTCGTGCACTGTTTCACGTGCCAGAGGCCGGAGACCTCTGCTGTGGCCGGGTCTGCGAGAGCTGTGGGCCTTGCGGCTCCGAGAAGCGCAAGGACCGAAACCCCGGCGCCGGCGCCTGCTGCGAGGTGTACCTGCAAAGCCCAAAACCCTCCACATCTTGCGGGGGATTTGCTTTTTTTTGATCAGGGCTTTAGAAAAGAATCCTATAAACTCTAGAGACTCCAGAGGCCTTCGACGCCTACCTAATCATGTCTCTTTACGTTTTATAAGGATCGAAATATTTGGAAATCCTTGGTTTTGTTGGAATCTTATGGGAAAAGCCATCTTTGGCTTGAAATGCGAGGCCTATTTGCGGCAGTTGGGCCGGCGTTGCCACTCGGCCCGGGACGTCTTCTGCCTGGTTCCAGCTGGGCCGCCTGCCAGAAAGTGCTGTTAGGCTGAGTTTGGAGCACCAGAACGGGGAAATCTCGCAATCTGAATCTACCACGGATTTTCATAATCGCAGTTATCTCCAAGGCATCCGCCACGCCGCCGCGGAAATGAGAGCTGTGCGGCGGCCGTCTCTGGAAGCCTGCCGCTTCTCAGCGGTGCCTTTGTGGTGAAGGAACCAAGCCTATCGAAGTTTGAGCTTTACACGAAGGCCATCCATGCATGGCATGTCTGCACTGAAATGCTCGGCTCGGCCTTCTGGGAGTTTCAGTTGAGCGGCTCAGATTGGCCAATACGGTGCACGAAGTTTCGGCATCGTGTCTTCCAAGAGGAAACCTTGCACGTCTTTCTATGTGCCCCAAGCCCTTCACCGTACACCGGGGTCCTTGGGTCAAGCACCGCTTGTGTAACCGTCGAGGCTCTATTAAAGGAGGCTTTGCCAGTGACGCTTGACTACACAAAGCAGTTGAATGGTGCGGTGATGGACCAGGAAAGTCCCAAAGGCACGGCCAAGTCTGTGTTGGGGGGGTGGGACAGACACAAAGAGGTCGTTGAGATGCTGGTGTCCTTGAAGCAGCGTGCGGTGGAGCATGAACTGACCAGAGAGACACCGAAGCTCCGGGCGGCTGTTTGCATCGCGGGCCTCGCCCGCAGCTTCCACTTGCCTCGGGTGCACGAATCCATCGCGAACGCCATCAGGAGCCTGAAAGCTGAGACACAGATTTTCTACGTGCTGGACCTGCAGGGGCGACCTCTAGAAGAGTTCGATCAAGGCTTCACAGCCTTGCCTCCGGACGGCATGGTGCTTTATGATGAGGTGCGCGGAACTGGTCTCAGGCTGCCGCAGTGTCATTGGGCAGCAGCAAAGTACGCTCATAAGCAGTTCGAGAAGTTTCACAGCTGTCAGCATCTCATCACAGCGGCCGAGAAGGCACAGCGGAGACGTTTCGACTGGGTGCTGCGGTTGCGTCCAGACTTCGAGTGGCTGGCACCAATAGGAAACCTCAGGGAGTTCACCACCGAAAAGGTGCACATTGTGCTGCACTGGATCCACCCAAATAAGTTTCACGACACAACCGACTACTTCGCTCTTCTCCCACGCAAGTACATGAAGGCTTATTTCAGCGTGGGCTGCCCGTCACGAAGATGGACCCGCATCGCAGCCTTGGAGGACCTGTGCCGCGGCCTCATCTGCAGCTGGGCCCGTGCTAAAAGTGGTTCAGATGAATCTTTCGTACAGGAAAGAATCAACATGTTTCGACAGGGGTATACATACTAAACAATGCGCTTTCCTCAATGATAGTCACGTAATCAATTTCATCCCGTTGTACAGCCTCACAAAGCACACGCGAAAAGAGCTATTGTGGCAGCTGAAATTCGGTCGTACGTTCCCCAGCCATTATTGATGTGTAGTAAACAGTATGCTTTCCTTACTTGGAGGTTCATGGGTAGTTATAAGTGGGGTTATAAGTAGGGTAACTATAGTTATAACCCAAATCAGGGGACTTATAACCCCACTTATACCTACCCATGAAGCTCCAAGTATGGCTAGGAACAGCCCAGGTAACCAGTCAGATTGCACCGCGCAGCCCGAGTGTGCCTTGCTGCTTCATCTCCGGGCCCACGGCGTCCCCGTGGAGCCCTTCCCACCCATCGTCAGGACCTTAGAGTGCTTTTTTTTTTTTGCCCAAAAAAACGGGGGCTCCTAAGTGCAAAGCATAAAAGCAATACCACCAATTTTCGGAAGGTCAGTTTTTTTTGGTGGTAGCAGGCCCAAAAAAAATCTCGGAGAGAGAGAGAGCACTGAGGTGAGAATCTTGCGGGAGTCCACCTGCCACCCTGGAGACTTGAAGTGTCTCCACGGCTGGGACCTGAAAGCATTGGAACGGTACCCCGAAGAATGCTTCTTGTGCCACTTGATGTGAAGACGGCAAAATCGTGTGTCCCCTGAAGTCTGCACCTTGCGACGCAACTAGTCAATCCCCCCAACGGTGCAGATCCTCCATATCGAGGTGTTGCTGGTCACTTGGACTGCGCCGTACCGTTAGAACCATCTGTGCAAGACTGCGTCGAGAACCGTCCAAGTCCCTGCGTGCACATAAACATCAGCCGGAAAGGAGTTAGGGTCCCAAACCCTGAACCCCAAACCCGAAAATGTCGGCTTTGGTTTGGGTTGAAAGGGCCATGGAGTTCGAGCGCTCTCCAAGCCCGACCCATTCATAGGCCTTTGAGGTGGTCTGTTTGCTCTGAGTATCACAACCCTAAACCCTGAACTCTAAACCCTCCTATAGTCAGCACCTACCTTCGACCCTAGGGGATACAAAAGCGGGCCGAAGGCCCCAGCTCAAATTGAGGCCTGCCTCACCCCGACGCGCTATTCTAATTGCTAACCCCAAGGCTTCAGTATCAGCTTCGCTAGGTGGTACCTTGGGAAGAGCCTTCGTTTCCCTTGCGGTCCCAAAATATTTTAGAGAGCTACATCTTCGAAGAATGGGGTCCTTAAACTACTACCGGGTTCAGGGACATGGGAAAAGTAGGCTGTTGTGGGCTTTCTGTGCCATTGTGACCCAATCATGTCTGCCTGAACTTCACGATGCCATTTCCTGGCCCAAGCCGTGAAAGCTCGCCCCCGGGGGGTCGGGCGTGAGGGTGGCCAAGATGGGTTACGGCGTTGGGCGAGGGTGCGCCGGAGGGTTTAGGGTTTAGGGTTTGGGGTTCAGGGTTTAGGGTTTAGGGTTTAGGTCTGCAGGGTCTGAGCTTTCTGTCGGTGCTTCCCAAAGAGGAGAAGAGCCCCGAGCCTGAATCTAAAAGCCCTAAAACTTTCAAAATTCCCAAGTCCCTGCAACCCAACTCAATTAGCCAGTGGAAGAACGTTAAGCTTTGGAGGAGTCCTTCCCTGGCCGAGCAGAGAAAGTCAGGGTCCTGTGGAAGGATACTGTTGATGGACTGCATGGCCCATGGCCCAAGTAGGTTATAGTACCATAATCAAATCCCATAGTTTAGGCATATAAGGTCATGCAGGATTTTGTCCATCAGCCGTACCCTAGTATACCACACCTCAAAGCCCCTAAACCTCGAAGCGCCCCCGAAGTTGGAGCCTCGCGACCCGTCGTGGGTAAAACCGGCCAGGAAGTCCTGGGGCCGTGGCTTTCGAAGCATACGTGACGACGACTGGGGCCGCGGAGGCAGGGACACCACAAATGAAAAGGGGCCCCTTCCGATCCAGGGATCCCTGGTTTTCAAAAGTCCCAAGGAAGGGGTCGTGGGGAAAAATGTGAGCCGAACAGGCTTCTTTCAGCTGATTTTCTTGTGACCCACCTGGGTTTCTCCAGGCAAGTCGGCCTGGAATGGGCGTGCCAGCTACAAAGGCAAAGGCAAGGGCAAGGCCTGGGGCTGAGCGGCTAGGGTTTAGGGTTTAGGGTTCAGGCTTTTCTCAGAGCAGCCCGAAAAGAAGAGCCCATCATAGCATGGATGCCTGTGGCTCGCATGACGGGATATACACGTCCGAACTTAGTCTGGTGAAGCTCGAGAAGGTCCCAGCTCCTCTCTAGATATTATATTATGTTATATTATGTTATATTATAGTATATTACATTACATTATAGTATAGTATAGTATAATATAGTATAGTATAGTGTAGTATAGTCTAGTCCTCTCCCATGAGAGACGAAGCACCGGGTCGACGAGCGCCCTGTCCCAGGCCTATGGAGGTCGCGGGGGTGGGGTCTGGCGATCGATCGTAAAGCGGCCGTACGGAAAGGCCAGAGCCTCAGGAGGGGGGCACCTGCAGTGCTGGGGGTTACGATTGGTTTTTGTGACAGTTATGGCGCGAATTGTGCAGGGATTGTGTGAAGAAGTGGCGTTGTAGGTTGCTGCAGTGTCCCTGTTTCTTGCACGATGGCCCGAGTCCGGCTTTGTCAGTTTGCAAAACGAGGTGTTTGCACCCTGTACCTCCTCCCCTCTTTGAGCGCATCTCCCGGCTTTCCTGATCAGGCCTACGGCCGAGGAAAAGGCGCAACCTGCCCGAGAGAGAGAGAGAGTGTGCGTTTCGGGTTTAGGGTTTAGGGGTTTAGGGGTTTAGGGTTTGGGGTTTAGGGTTTAGGGGTTTAGGGTTTAGGAACTGCTTGTTCAGCGAAATTGGTTCTGGCAAAGCCTGGCAATCCGACCAAAAGTTTGGGGCGGGGCCTATGTGCAGGCCAGAAAGGCGGGTACGGCTATGGCGGCTACGGCCGCGGTCGCTACGGCTATGGCCGTGGACGTCGCAGCCTTGGCGACAAAAATCCGTCTTGTTTAGGTGACTTTGCCTCTGATACCTTACTGCACCCCAGTGCCCCAAATCGCTCGTTTCTCCTTTTCTCTGAGAGACAGCTCGACTCCATTTTCGTTCCTGCCGAGGATACGGCAGAGGGAGCTACGGCCGCGGGGGGAAAGGAGCGCCAGAGCTGACAGCGAAGCTTTGCTTCTTTGAGATCTCCGGTGGATTTTGGAGACCTTTTGAGTCCGAACCCCGTAGTTTGCCGCTTTTGCGTTCCTGCGGCAGGCCGAGGGTACAAAGGAGGCCACAGCCGATTCATCCGCGGGATGAGACTGCTCACGAAGCTTTGCTCGTTGTGCAGCTGTCTTGCGCACACACGGTTTCAAAGTTGACGCCTGCCCCCGAGTACTCTTCCGCTTCCGCAGACTTGGTCCCGAGCGCCGTGGCAGGCCGAAAAGGCAAGGGCAAGGGAAAGGGCAAGGGAAAGAGGAACCAGGCGGGACCACCGGGGTTTTTCCCTGCTTGCCTGAAGCGTGCGGATCCGGCCCGGGGGCGCTTGTGAGAATGCTAATCCGTGCCAGGTTACCAAGGAGATGCTAGACCGCCAGTTGGAGGAATACATGGGGCCGGACGCGATGAAGGCTGGAGTCCCGATGGATTCTCAAACACTCTGTCGGCTGCCCCCTTTCGGTGCACTTCGATCACTCAAAAAAGGCGGGCAAGGTGTCTGTGACCCTGTTTACCCTTTGCAAGCTCCCTTGCTCCTCCAAGCAGAAGCGAAGCCGCGGATGGAGGCCATGCTAGACCTGGAGTTGGAAGCCTACTTCAAGGCATGGCTTAGCCATGGGGGGTAGAGCCTTTCGGGAGGGTGGGGGTGGGTCTAGATGTTGGGGATCTGGGTCAGTGTACCTAGGGCTGCCCCTGAATCCGAGTATCAGTGTGATTGTGCTATTTTGGGTGCCATTGCTGTTAGCTGCTAGTGATCAGACCCAGCGTCAAAGAGTGACTCTCCGAAGACGACTCTGTCTGCGTCACGGCGCAGTCCTGCTTTGAGTCTTCAGGACAAGAAAAGCTTGGAAGCTCCGAAAGCAGAGGCCGTCGACGGCTCAGGGTCAGGCAGAGAGAGAGCTATCTGCCCTTATCTGCCCTCAAAGGCCGGCAATCCGTGAGAACGACCGGTCTGGTCTGATCTGCGCGAAGAGAGAAAAAAACAGATCGAGCCTTCGCTTCAACCGTCGCTGTCCTGCTTGGAGGTTCATGGGTAGTTATAAGTGGGGTCATAAGTAGGGTAACCATAGTTATTCACCCAAATTAGGGGACTTATAACCCCACTTATAACTACCCATGACCCTCCAAGTGGCCCCCTCCAGCACTGGGAGCAGCTTTGGCCTTTGGTGTGTGAGCGAATTCAAAAACCTCCTTACTCCGCCGCAGATGGCCCGCGCTGAGCCCAGCCTAGGAACCCCAAGGCCAAGCGTCTTAAACAAAGAGCTACATACGCCCCAAAAGCCTGCCCGAGTTGAAGCTTCAGAATACGTTCAGAACAGAGTTCCGAAACAAACATTCAGAGCCTAACATACAGATTCTTGTGATTTGGTGTGCGTGCCACCCTTGCGATGTCACACAGCTACGTACAGCGCGCTGCACAGCATGATTCGGCATTCGGGTTGTCCCGATGGGTTGGCCGAGTCCTTGAGTTTGTACCTAGCGTGGAAGATGAATTCCCAATTCAACAACTGTTATTGCTTGGCGCAAACTTGTGCTGCCTAACTACACTAGCGTTGGCATTGCCTAAAGCGAAAAATTTGAGTCCATCGAAGCTGTGACGGAAAAAGTTCTGCTGCCCCAGCGGTCATGACGACTACGTAATTTCTTGCAGTTGGTGAGCTCATGCTTCGCTGCCCCGAAACGACGGGACTTGCACAAGCCCATTCAACCTGCTCCTGGTCCTCCTGCTGCTCCTGGTTCGGGTAGTAGTAGTTGTAGTCGTCGTCGTAGTCGTAGTCGCAGTCGCAATCGTAGTCGAGTCGCAGTACTAGGAGTAGATGATGTCTGATGTCTGCACGTAGACACGTGGAGTCAATTCCTCCTTGTCTCTTCGTAGTTAGCCACGTTCGGAGTTGTTCTGAGCCACGAATGGTGAAATGCAATACATCCGAAGCCGGTGGAACCTACAGTTGCACATACTCGCGCAGCTTGTAGCAAGCATGTGTTTTGTGCTTGTAGGATGTTGCTGGCAAAGCGCGCATTGTTGGAGCTTGGCCCAAGCAGAAGAAGCCAACTCGCCGGACTCAATACAAAGACAGGTTCGGCACATGATTCAGCTCACAGGCCTCCACTGGCCGCCCCGCCCAGCATAAAATAAAGACCCCTCATCCTAGAGTCCTTCTGTCCTCCCGATCCCGGAACTGCCGGACGAGCCCGGGTTAGCTTTCGGCCTTACCCCCTCGCGGGTGTGTTTTTTGAAGACTTTGAGACTTTTCGGCCCATGGAGTCGCTGCGAGCCTCGGAGGCTCCTGGAGTCAGCCTAAAAAGACCCCTAAACCCTAAACCATAAGCCCTAAACCCTCAGCCGGTAGTTTTTGTTGGATCGAACACATGGCGCAGGTGTTGTCGCGATGGCAGGAGCTGGACCCCGAGCTTCGAAGCGCCTTCTTCGCGATGGAGGCCAGCGCAGCTCTCACAGAGTGACAGGAAAGACTGACTGGTTCTTGGTAGGGAATGGGGGAATGGGGTATTGGGACTACTAAAGGGGAGGACTATCATGGAGATCCATTCCCCCATTCCCTACTAAGAACCAGGGAGAAGAGGGCTCTGAGGCTTCCAGCGATGTTTGCCAGTCGTGGCTTTGCAGAGGCACGGCGACAGCAGCGGCAGGCGTTTGGCAGGCCAGAGGACGTTGAAGAGTATCTCCAAGGCTTCTCCTTGGAAAGAGACGTTGCGACGCTCGAAGCTTCTGAATGCTCCTGTAGAGGCTCTGGAGTGCCTAGTCGGAGCATCTGACCATCTGACCATACATACATGTGGTTGTACAGAGACACTGCCAAGCTTCAGGCACATCGCCCGCGGGGTGTGGTCTGCGATTTCTGAGGCAGGGCACATCATGGCATCTTCACGCACGCTCCTAAGAAGCGTACCATGCATGAGTAGCGACCGAAGCCGGGGCGGTGTGGGCAAAGTTTGCTGAGGCAGGGAAGTTTCCGCGGTACTGCCTTGAAGTAGACTGCGGGACTGCAGTTGCTAAAGCCTCCTTTCCCTGGCCCGCACCCCGCTTCGTGGCCAGGTGGCCATGTTCCTGGGAGCCTCGGGCTGCAAAGACCGCGAGCGACCCCTGCGCAGCAGGGTTTTGAGGAGCGCGTGGTTTTGGAGGCTTCCGGCTTTCCCCGCCGCTTCCGTTCCGAGGCTTCACGCTCTATGGCCTGGCGAAAGTGCGGACCCAGCTCCTGGGGCCACCGCAGAAGGCCGGGCACAGTCTTCTCTTCAAGGCTACACTGTTCCCATAGGCTCCTAAGTAGTTCCTTTTTGTGGTGTATATAGAGAATCCTATAAGGTAATCCCAAAAAGGAACTACTAAAGAGCCTATGGGTAGAGTCCTGCTTCCGTCTTCTGGGTCTTCGGCCGTGGCACGTAACCCCGAAATGGTCCCCCCGAAGTTGCAAAACACACGGTGCAACGCTTGCAGAACCTGCGCTACCTGGCGCTGCCCGTGGTCTTCACCGTGGGCATCATGGGCCTCTCGCTGAACAGGATGGGCGTTGCAAGCGCATTTGTCTGTAGATCGGTTTTTTCATGCAGAGGGGTCGGGGGGGTTCTTGAGAGTTGCAGGTCACTGAGTGTGCGGGACAATCTGCCCCTTCTCTGGGGCAAGACCTGGATCGCGCCTCTCAGCTTCAGGGACAACATGTCAAAAAGCATCAAAGGCTGCCAAGCGTCTGGCCAATGATCCGAGGATGCTTAGCCATCGCTAGTCACGGCTATACTGTTAGCAACAGGACCCTGTAATCAATGTTTGCGTTTGCCACGCCGAGGCTGCTGGCGGTCTGGGAACTCTGGTTGTACGAGCCGCCCTCTTCGCAATGTCCAGGCTCTCTCTGCAACCAGAGCTGCTGTAAGTGTCCGAAATTCACAACCCCAATACAAGCTACAAGCAAAATTCGTTCCTACTTGACAAAAATCACGATTTTCGCCCCCTGTCCCAGGGCAGGAAGGGGAGCCAACGAGCTTCATGACAACGCAGGAGCTGGGATCCTTTCGCTCTGATCTGCTCTAAGACTCCTGGAGATGTGCCATGCAGTTCTTGAAGCTGTCTCCGTCTCAGAATGGCCAGTCTCTTTTGGTGCGTGCAGTTGTCAGGGATTCTTTGGTAGAGTCGCTCTGGAGACAGGAGCAGATCGTTCTTGGCGTCTTCCTGAGCTTGGAGGCGGGAGCTTTCTTGGCTTTGTGCCCTGGGATTTCACGCGACGTCCCAGCAGCCTTTCCAAAGCAGGAGCATGCGTCGCACAAGCCGGAAAGCAGACTGCACGCCGCAGCCCGAAACAGTCCCAAGAACAAAACGACTCTCGCGGGAGGCAGTAACTGTGGCTGTCTGGACCGTGCAGAAGACTTATCCGTTCTTGGCACTCTGGCAGCAGCTCGATTTCCTCACGCTGCACAGCAGCAATTTGCCCGATGCTCCGGCCCAAGGCAACCTTCTGTCGTACCCCACTGGCACTGCGATTTTTCTGGCGGGTGCGACCTTCAACGTACAGGCACACGGAATTTCGGGGGGGCTCGTTTTTCGGCCTCGGCTAGCTTGGACGCCAGGGAAGGCTACAGCTATTTGCCGAACGGCTGCTGCTGCAGCCTCCGGCGAAAGCACTTCAAGTACCACGGGGACCAGGCCGGAGACTTCAGCTCCGAGAGGTCTGGACCCAACTTGCTCAAAGAGGCTCTCGCCGCGTTCACCTAAGCCCCTAATCCCTAAACCCGGCCTAAACCCCCTATAGCCCGTAAACCCCTAAACCCCTATAACCCTCTAAGCCATTCTGACAGGACTTCAGTCAACTGCCCCACGGCCATGGCATCTGGCAGGACGACTCTTACCACGGGGAGGTGTGCCGAATGGGGGTTCCTTCTTGCCGTAGGCGTGCCGCGAAACCCTGAACTTGCGAAGTTTATCTCCTGTCCCCCTTCGGTGGGCCCCGGAGCTTCATCATTCCGAGCTGTTTGGGAGAGTCTTCGCCTCTTTAGATGGTCAGTAGGTCCAAACAACGTCTGGGAGCTGGAAGCGTTGCTGTCCGGAGCAGGTCTACGAGGGCTCCTGGTTTCGAGGACAGCCTGTTGCGCCCTTCGTGTCGAGGCTGGGGGTTTTCCTTGCCTTGACTCAATCAGTTTCCCGACTGTGTAACATGATTGCAGTGTGCGGACGACAACAGTTGGTCATTCCACGGGTAATCGTAAGCCGAAGCTAAACCCTGAGCCCCAAATCACTTTTCAGGTTCCAAATATGGGTCACCAAAATAGTACCGACACCCTTACAAGAGGAACCCGGAAAGGGACCCTGGTTTTGACCAGCACCCATACTCCTGGCGCTCTTCCCCCGAGGTGCTTCGGCAGTGGCGCCATCTCCTGCGGCCTGAAAGTGGGCTACGGCACCGCGCGTGCCGAGGCGCTGACCGGAGCGAGATGAGCGAAAGAATCACTCAGGATCCCTCCCTTCCAGTTATTTATGAGTCCTCGACGAGTCCTTGATACATGTATCAGGATCATCGGCATAGTCCTTATCAGGGCCCCTGCCCCGGTCTAAGCCCCCAGGTTTCTTTGCCGTCTAGTGTTGCTGACATATGTTGTCTTACATTCCATCTTGTCATCCATATCATGCTTTAGTTCATATGATATGATGTGATCAGATGTGGTCAGACCTGATCAGACGATAAATTGCATCTGTGTGTGCGTGCGTTCAGGAGCTCTCAGAGGTCTTCCGGCTGCCGCAGCGAGTGCCCTGGCCCTTTGCTCTCAGGAAGCCACTGCCCTCTTCAGTCACTGCCCTCTTCAGTCAAAGCCGCCCCAAATACAGAGATATCTTAGCTGCATATCGTGCTGGACATTGTGTTGATGTTGTTTGCTTTACGGGGATGTTTCCGCCTTCAAGCCTCAGGTTGTGACCCGTAAGACTTGGCATCAATAGCAG